CTGACAAAATAATTCAGATAAAGATAAGTGCTTGTGATAGAGGGTAAATTTTATTGCATAAACTGCCATGAATATTATCTTTTTTATTTAATTGAAAATTAGCTATGGCCCTAGGATAGAAAAATACCTTGGCCCTGAGATAGAAATCAGTGCAGAGCTGAATTGACTTCTGCTCTTAGGACCCTAGTTATCTGGTGACATACCCTGTTTTTTTTGGATTATTAACCACTCTAGGCAGAACTGAGCCAGGGACCATTTGCCTTGGTGAGGGGATTTATAATATTCCTTAAATGGTATGTAACTGGTTATCTTTTTTTTTTTTTTTAATAACTGGTTGTCTTAAAACTTTTCTCTAAGGTAACTGTAGTGTATGGTTAAGAACCACTGTAAAAATGTATTGGCAGACTCGCAACTGCCTAGATTCAGATCCTGCCTCTGCCTTATTAGCTTTGCAATATTGGGCACATTACCTTCGGGTAAAGTAACTTTTTAAATTTTTTTTTAAGATTTTATTTTTAAGTAATCTCTACACCCATTGTGAGGCTGGAACTCCGCAATGCCAAGATCAAGAGGCACACACTCCACCAGTAACATTTTTCGTATCTGCAAAATGTGGATGATAGTAGTATTTAACTGAAGTTGTTATGAAGGTGAATTAAGTGTTCCATAAATGTTAGTTGTTATTCTTCTCTGTCAGAATGGGTGAGAAATTCCCAGTTTAATTTTCATTTTTGTTTTCATGAAATACCCCTAAACATCTTCTAGTAGAACCCTGGAGTTTTATCCTAGATGAAATGACAGGTGTTTGTTTTGTGTCTTTTTTTTTTTTTTATATAAGTACTTGTAATTTGGTGTTCCTCTCAATATTGGAGATGTAAAAATTAAACCTGGATGATTGATTTGCCATGAGGCAAATAACTTTAATTAATTTATACACTTTGTTTTTCAGCATTTGTAGGGTTAAGTGGCTTGGGATTTCTGTTTCTGATAGTAAATAGGTAAGTAAAACAAATGGTTAGATATGACCAAAGAGATAGTTTCACCATATTCATGATGACTTTTTCCTGACTTGGTTCTTTTACCTTAAAACTGCTGTCTTTTGTGACCAGAGGGTATTGTTTTGCCAGGAACTTGATATCTCTCTTCCTTTCATTTATATCACTCCCCACATAGGAACTGGCATAAAATGGACCAATAATGAAGACTGCTTTTGGCTTATTTGGTGATGACATATATTGCCTATATATAGAGGTGGTGATTGATCTGTTTTATGGACTGACAATTTGGATATTTTTGTGGTGGTTTTGGCAGATAGTTTCAGAGTGCACTTGGACAGTTTACATCCTTTAACAGGTGTTTTATGTAACTGTGTAGCCTCGGGCTTACTTCTAGTTCTGTGGAAGAGATAAGGATTTTGATGGAATTCATTATCATAATCCTAAACAAAATTAATCTAACATGGTTATTGAGAATTTAAATGAGAAAAATAAGCCTTTGTTGTAGTTAAACTGTCTTGTCAGATTCATTATTGTGTCATTTTAAAGACTATTTATCATAGAAAAACACAACTTTTTTGTTGGATGTTTTGGTTTCCAATTTTTCTTTATGTGGAATAATTCGATACAGGACACTCTTGTATAAAGCTTTTAGGTTAAAATTTACTGCAGTAGGTCAAAGAGTGAACATTTTAAAAGTTTTTCAGACCAACATGTCAATATTGACAGATTGCTTTCAAAAGTGTTTAGGACAGTATTGTTGACCAGTTTACTGCATCTTTGTCATCAGCCGGCATTCTAATTTATAAAAGTTCACCATATAGGTTAAAATGAAATAATTGATCTTTTTTGCATTTCTTCAGTGACTAGTGTGATTGAATGTTTTTCCATGTTTATTAACTGTGAATTGGCTTTTTGTTTGTGCTTTTCTTATCTTTGAAGGCAATAGTCTTATATCACTTGCCTGGAATGATTTTCCCAGTTGATCTGTCTCTTAATTTGGATCTTAAATGTTTCATTATATATTTACTGATTGTAAAAACAATTGGTGTTAATTATATGAAAATACAGAAACGTACAAAAATGAAAATAAAAAATGCTACTGCTCAGAGATAACCAGTCATAACACTGATTTTGTCTCTCCAGTCTCTTCTGTGCTTGTGTGTTATTTCACAAATTCAAAATTTCTATATTAAGGTAGCAACTTGCTTTTTTCTCAAGTTTCAATGAACGCTTTCAATGCTTCTACAGTATTTTCCCCCATTTATAAAAATTTTATTTTGGAATAATTACGGATTCACAAGTTGCCAAAAAAACACAGGGTGGTGTCATGTACTTTTATACACCTTGCCATAACTATAGTATGATGTATAAAACTAGCAGATTGATATTGGTCCAATCCACAGAACTTACTCAGATTTCACCAGTTTTATATACAATCTGATTTTAAGGCTCTGAGATATTCTTTATATGGCTGGATGGTGCCTTAGTCCGCACAGACTGGGTAGCTTGTAAACTCAGAAATTTAATTCTGGGAAGTCCAGGATCGTGGAGTCAGCAGATTTGTACTTGGTAAGGGCTTTCTGGTTCATAGTGCCTTTTTGCCAATGTCTTCACATGGTGGAAAGGGCTAGGGTCTGGGATCTGTTTTAGAAGAGCACTGACCCGGGGTTCCTGGGTGGCTCAGATGGTTAAGCGTCTGTCTTTGGCTCGGGTCCCAGGGTCCTGGGATCGAGCCCCACATCAGGCTCCTGGCTCAGCAGGGAACCTGCTTCTCCCCCTGCCTCTCCCCCTGCTCGTGCTCTCTCTCTATCTCTGTGTCTTGAATGAATAAATAAAATCTTAAAAAGAGCACTGATCCATTCATGAGGGCTTTGGTCTTCTGACTTAGCACTTCCCCAAAGCCCCACCTTCCAAGTCCATCACATTGGGCATTAGGATTTCAACATATGAATTTGGGGTGCACACAGACATTTAGACTGTAGATAGCAGTTAGATGTTCCTAATTTTTCACTGTTAGGAAATCAGTGTGGTGAACATCCTTGTACTTACATAGTTTTGCATATCTCTTTTGAGTAGATCTCACAAGTACGTTTCTAGATAAAGAGTGTTTATTTTTTCTGTTTTTTAATTGAAGTATTATTAACATACAGTGTCCTTTTAGTTTCAGGTGTATGATATGATTTAGCGATTCTAACATTACTTAGTGCTTATCACATTAAATGTACTCTTAGTCCCCTTTATTTCACCTATCCTCCCACCTACCTCCCCTCTGGTAACTACTAGTTCTCTGTATTTAAGAATCTGTTTTTTTGTCTGTTTGATTGTTTTGTTTCTTCAGTTCCACATGTAAGTGAAATTATATGGTATTTGTCTTTCTCTGTCTGGCTTATTTCACTTAGCAATTCTCTAGATCCATCATATTGTCACAGATGGCAAGATCTTATTCTTTTTTATGGCCGAGTAATATTCCGTTGTGTATATATATCACATCTTCTTTATACGTTCGTTTATGGATGGACACTTGGGTTGCTTCCATATCTTGGCTATCGCAAGTAATGCTGCAATAAACATAGGAGTACATCTTTCAAATTAATGTTTTTTCTTTGGGTAGATACCCAGTAGTGGAATTACTGGATCATATGGTAATTCTATTTTTATGTATTTATTTTTTTAAGATTTTATTTATTTGAGAGAGAGAGCACGCGCGCTAGCACGTGTGCACGAGCTGGGGGAGGGGCAGAGGCAGAAGGAGACTCCCTGCTGAGATGCGCAGTAATCCCAGGGAACAGGACCTGAGCCAAAGGCAGACACTTGACTGAGCCACCCAGGCGCCCCTGGTAATTCCGTTTTTAAAAGAATGCATCTTTTTAAGGCTATTGATAAACATTGTTAACTCTTAGAAAGATTTTATTAATTACAGCAGTGAACTGATAGCTTTCTTTTATACTTGTCAAAATGACATTAAGTAGTTCAATAGGTAAAAATGATATTTAGTAGTTAACTATTCCTGCTTGTTCTTTGTACATTTTCCCTCTTTGGTAAATATCTTAGTAATTTATAGCTCTGTTGTTAATAAGGTTGGTGTTGTAACCTTTCAGACTTTTTCTGTTTTTACATACTTATGTGTATATCTGTACAGTGATTTTATGTTTGTTAACATAAATGATAAAGTGCTTGTTTTGCAACTTGATTTTTTTCACTGTTAGTATATATAGGCCTATCCTTTTTTTCTCCTTAACTTTTATAGTATTCCTGTTAAAAGTATACTACATTTTATTTAACCATTTCCTATAGAGATTTATATTTGTTTTTAGCCTTTCACTTAAGGAATCAGTGCTGCACGATACATCCTTATATGTGTGTTTTTGTGTACATTAATGGCTTTTAAGGTGTATGCTCTTAACTAGTCTGGTGAAAAATACAAATATTCCCAGCAGTACTGTTTGTCTATATGCTATAGACTTTACACTTTGATTATTCTTTTTTTTTTTTTTTAAAGATTTTATTTATTTATTCATGAGAGACAGAGAGGCAGAGGGAGAAGCAGGCTCCCAAGGAGCAGGGAGCCCGATGCGGGACCCGATCCCAGGATCCCGGGATCATGACCTGAGCTGAAGGCAGACGCTTAACCATCTGAGCCACCCAGGCGCCCTACACTTTGATTATTCTTGATACCATTAGCAAGGGACACGTCAGATTTATGGATAGTATGCTGCTGAAAGGTATCTAATTAATTATCTTGATTTATTATTAAATACTTAATGAAATAGGGTATCCCCTTTTCCTTGGGCAAGCTTGGTATTCTTGGAGTAAGAAATACCAATGGGCTGGGTCAAAGGGGAACATCCACTAGCAATACTTGGGAGCACTGATCCTGACTTCAGACATTGCGGGAAGGCATCAGGCTGTCACAAATTTTCTATATCTTTACTTCAGTGGTAGAGGCAGTGGTGATTTGGGGGCTCTTGTCTGACTCCTGGCTGACCCCCCAAGTTTGCAGAAATGGGCTCTGATCCTTCAGTTACTGAGTTGATTTTTTCTATCCTCACATGCTTAGGGTATGGACTTCACATGGGCAAACCATTAGTGCCTCAGAAGGTAGGAAGCTCAGGCATTCCAGGAGGTGGGTGGAAAGCACATAACAGCCATTGTGCCAACACAGTCCTGCCAAACACTTAGTTCTCAGTAAAAGAAGGACAAGCTTTCTTTCTCAGTATCACAAATTAATTTTGCTGTGTGGTAGGATAACACCTGAGCTTACCAGGAATTTCTTGGCACTGCCTGAGCAACAGCCCTTTCACTCCTGACTCTGGCCCCTGATCTCAGTCTCTTCTCGCCCCTGAGGTGAGGTGGGTTCTTTCCCATCACCACCTGCACTGAAACACATTTGGTTTTTATATTCTCTACTCTGTTTAAAATCTAACCTGATTCTTCGGAGCATATTTCTTTGAATTGCATTAAATACATAGGAACATCACTCTTTATATCTTTAGCTATATGGAGATTATAATAATTTGTTTGACTAAATTGGGAAACCTACCAGAGGTTGAGCTTTGAGTAATTATGTGTGATCTCCAAAGGAGTAACTGATTTCTGACACAAAATATAGCAACATCTAAAATCACTTATAAGACAGTCTGTCATTTTTTATTCCTTGATTTTGTCGTTCTGCTCTCACCTAGGAATGAGTAGTTTGAATATTTTTAAACACTTCTGATTATAAAAATGTAATGAAATATTGAAACTTCATGGTCACAAATTCTGTTCTCATTATTTAATCTAAATATAGAGAACAAGAAAATAAATATAGAGAACAAACTGATAAGTTAACAAAGATGGGGGTGGGGGAGGTTGGGTGAAATAGGTGATGGAGATATTTATCATGATGAGCACTGAGAATATAGGATTATTGAATCACTATATACTATATTGTACACCTGAAACTAATACAACACTGTATGTTAACTAAACTAGAATGAAAATAAAAACTCAGGGCGCCTGGGTGGCTCGGTTAAGTGGCTGACTCTTGGTTTCAGCTCAGGTCATGATCTCAGGGTCATGAGATTGAGCCCTGTGTTGGGCTCACACTCAGCATGGATTGTGCTCAAGATTCTCCACCTGCCCCACTCGTGTGCACTTCGCTTGCACACGCTCTCATAAAATCTTTAAAAAATAATAATAAAATTTAAAAATTAAAAATTAAAAAAAAAAAGAAATAGTGCATCCCATCAGTAAAAGGTAAATTTTTCATCATAATCCCACAATATTTGGGTAATTCTCTATAAATTAAGTATATACGACAATAATACATTTTGTATCTTAAATATTAACCTTAATCTCTTATAGTGAATATTTGTCATATTTGGAGCCCCCAATTTTTGAGTAGCTTTCTATATTTGCAGAAATGCCCATATTGTGAGTCAGGCCTCTCCAGTGTATGTACTAGTCAAAACTCAAATTCCCAGATGCTCTTGTACCTAGATGGATGCATCTTAAATAACATTAAGAGCCACTAAGTCAGACACACCCACAGATCACTTTTGCTTGAAAATACACAATGTAAGGAAATGAGGCTTCTATTCATAACTTTTGATTTTGCAGGAAGGGGTGGCAGCTTTAAGTGGAGGTTCAAGGTTAAGTTCCTAATGAGGAAGTGGTTTTGGTCCTGGCAGTGGTAATGGATTTCAATTTTGGCATTTAGCGCTTGGTGGTAGCAGGGATAGTGATTTCCTCATTAAGCCACTTCATTATTTTGAGTGATGTTATCTTTGCACCCATTTTCAGCCCTTTCAGTGACATAGTGGCAGTGACACCATCCTTTAATAAATTACCTTTCTGTTAATTTACCTAGAGTGGATTCTAAACATTGACTGCTAAAAATCCTTGGTAAGATACTTTTCGTACAGCAGGTATTGTTCTCATGTATGCATAGTGGCAAATATAAAGATGAGTTGCTTTCTAAAATTGCAACTTCAAATTTTTTAAATAATACCTTGGTACCTGGGGTGGGAGGGTGGCTACCTGGTGCTATAAGAAAACTAGTTGGTTTCCTCCCTGAGCTAATTAATTATGGTATAACGTGGTATTGTGAATTAGTATCTCTAAACTAAGATGTTGCTGTGATTATTCAAATGCCACTACTTTCAGAAATGCATTTGCTCCTCTGCATGGTGTGTCATTTTGTTACTGGTTTTGATATTATAAAAGCCTTAGCAGCTCTGAAACCAAAAACCAAGAAGCACTTCAACATTAGACTTCCATTTTAAACTCAGTCCACATGGAAAAAAAAGATTGTATCAACTCTCATCTTGTGGCACCTCTGAAGAGTAAATAAAGTGCTAAAAATTCTTTTTTTGCACATATGCCTCTGCTATTTCATTCAAGTAGACAGTTGATCTCCTCTCAGCCTGGTTTGTATTAATAGCTGAAATAGAATAGGAAGACCTAGTTTCTGCCTTCCTTGAGCCCACTGCCTAGCTTTAGAGCACATATTTAAATAAACTATTATAGTGTTTAGTAAAATAGAGGTATGTACAAATAATAAGAGGGAGAGAGGAAGTAATAACCAAAATAAACGTTAGGTGCCCAAGGTATGTAAAAACTATAAGGAATTTTGGTAGAGTAGGCATTATGTCTTTAAAAATTAAGAAACTGGGGCCAGTAATTGCATAATTATTGAGTGGCAGAATAGTTAGTTTTTTGTTGTTGTTGTTAATACTATACTTGTCTTTCAGTTGTTGGAATTACTCTAAATTTAGCTTCATTGAGACGATTGATACTTCGTTTTTTAGGAAATATTATGAATTAAATCATCTGGAAAACAACTGAAAATGTTGGTTAAAATATTTTTTTTAAAGTTTTTTTTTTTTTTAAGCAGAGCTTTAAGCTGTTAAGAAAGCAAATGAAATCTTCAGACCAAAATTAATTTAAAAAAATACTCACAAGAGGTAAGCAGGTCATAAACGCAGGGGCTACTCTTAATGCATCTGTTGGTTCTTAGTGGCCCAGAGCTTTGGTTTTAATTGGCAATGCCTAGAGACAGGACACAAGGTAAACTAGGGGGAAAAAAGCAAACTTTCCCAGAGAAAAGGCAACTTCTGTTTTTGCTTTGGGTCTGGATTGGTGTGGCAGAGCTCTTCCCTAATAATTCGAACCACAGATGCTCTTCTTGCCGAAGTAGAGTGAGAATTCACACTATGTGTTGTTACAAAAAAAAAACCATGTTGAAAATTAAAGGAATACCAGATTGGTAGTTTTAGTATGCAGTCATCTAGCAGAGGGGAAACAAATCCTCTCCTGAAGAGCTTATTTTAAATATAGTCTTCAGAATTCCCACAAATAAAGTTCTAAGGAAAACGGGATTACAGTATAAAATCTTAAAGCCGGTAAGTCATCTTGAGCATGGTTTAGCAGAAACAACAGATCACAAAAGCAAACCCTCAAAGATTGCAGATATTGTAATTATCAAATACAGACTATAAAATAAGAATATTTAATATGCTTGAAGGAAGATACTAAAAAGATGATCAAGAAACAAAATGGGGGCGCCTGGGTGGCTCAGTCGTTAAGCGTCTGCCTTCGGCTCAGGTCGTGATCCCAGGGTCCTGGGATTGAGCCCCGCATCGGGCTCTCTGCTCCGCGGGAAGCCTGCTTCTCCCTCTCCCACTCTCCCTTCTTGTGTTCCCTCTCTCGCTGTGTCTCTCTCTGTCAAATAAATAAATACAATCTTTAAAAAAAAAAAGGAAACAAAACGGGTGCCTGGGTGGCTCAGTAGGTTAAGTATCTGACTCTTGATTTCAGCTCAGGTCATGATCTCAGAGTCATGAGATTCAGCCCCACATCAGGCTCCATGCTGGATGTGGAGCCTGCTTAAGATTCTCTCTCTCCCTCTCTTAAAAAAAAAAAAGAAACAAAAGAAACAAAGCAGTGGTCAGATAGATTTGATAAAAACCAAAAAGAATTTTAAGAAATGAAAATTATTTAAAAAGAACTTAGAAACTTGGACAAATTAAATTCATCTTAGAAACAGATGAAAAGAGAATTGATGAACTGGAAGAAAGAACTTAAGAAATCGCTTGGGATGTAATTTCCTAGACAAAGAAATGGAAAACAGGAGAGATTGATACAAAGAGAGGTGGAACATAGTATGAGAAGGTATGAATATTTTATTGGCATTCCAGAAGGAAACCATAGAGCAGTTAGTTGATTAAAAGGCAGAGTTTGAAGAGCTTAATGGCTGAGAATTTTACAGAATTGATGCATCAGATTTCAGAGCTCAGTGAATCCCAAGTGGATTAAAGAAGAATTTCACACTTAAACTGGTGATGGTAAAACTGCAAATCACCATTGACAAAATTTAAGGAAAGAGATTAAGAATGACCACTAGAGTGATCAGCAACTTTTGTACAAAACAGAAGGCAGTGGGGATATCTTTAATATGCTGAAAGGGAATATGTGCCTCATAATTCTTTATTAAAAAAAAAAAGTCTTTATACAGCAGAGGTAGAAGGTAAAAATAAAGGCATTTTCAGAGAAGCCACAACTTAAGAATTGACTAAAAAAATGTGAATGATGTCCTTGCGGAAGAAGGAACATGATTCCAGAAGAAAGGTGTGAAATGTGAGAAAGAATGATGTTCAAAGAAAATCATCAACATTTATGTAAATTTAATAAAATATTGACTGGTATAAAACTAAAACAGTATATATTATATATATACAGGCACAAAATACATAAAATAATCTTTGATAATGTACTACTCAGTGTAACATTCATGCTGTAATTTGAAAAAAAGGTTTAAGTTTTATATTTTTTTATGACTCAGGATTTAAGGTAATATTTCAATGGAATGCTTTATTAGAGAAAAAAAATCCCTGATCTGAGTATTGCAGCAGATCATGTTCCCCTCTAGCCCATATCCATGCTTATGTATTTTTTTGCAGTTGTAATAATCTGTGAGCTGTAATCATTTGTGGTTAATACTACATACTTAATTTCTGTATGTCTTTAGTTGGGTATATTATTTCACATACAGGATAATCTGGAAAAGGGAGATAGTAATGTAAGTACTAATTCCCAACCCACAGAATTGCTTAACATACTTGCTTTTGTTATTGTGGTGGTTATGGTTTTTTTCACTTCATTTTGTGAAAGCATGTTCCATTTTGATGTTTTCGTATTTCATCAACCCTACCATGCACGTTGTTGCACATTGTAATTTCTCTGGAAACTGGGATACATCTTACAATATTTGATGTCATAGTTTAATAAACAGCAATTTTTTCTTTGATATAGTAGTACCCCTTTAGATTTTATAAAATATGGTGATGTATCTTTATAATTTTGAATGGCTATGTCATATTTTACCTAGTGAGTGTGTCATGATTTCCCTTATTCCTTGTTTGTTTGGGTTATTTCCATTTGTTGTCTCTTCTAAATAATGCTACTATGTGAGAATATGAGATGCACCATTTTATACAGTCTCTGTTAAATAATGAGTTTGCAGGCTGCCTGGGTGGTTCAGTCAGTTAAGCATCTACCTTGAGCTCAGCTCATGATCCTGGGGTCCTGGAATCAAGCCCCACATTGGGCTCCCTGCTCAGTGGGGTGCCTGTTTCTCCATCTGCTCCTCCCCCCTACTCCTGCTTGTGCTCTCTCTCTCTCAAATAAACTTTTTAAAACAATGAGTTTGCAAATTTTATGCTGATGTGGGCATTATTTTTAAGTGCTTTGCTAATCTAATAATTGTTAAGTGGTACTTTATTTTCCTACTTGCGTGCATATATGTATTTTTTTCTAGAATTTTATTTTCCTAGTCTTTATGTTTTGGGTTTTTTTTGTTGCAGTTTTATGTTATCCTGTAGTCATCAGTTTATCCTTTGTGATTAGTACCTGTTTCTTCAAAGCCAACTTTCTATGAAATAATAGTTTACATTTAACTTTTAATTTCACCTTGTGATTATTTTGATATAATGCATTAGTGTTTGTGTTAGTATTCTTTTGAGAGTGAGACAGTTGATTACATTCTGTTCAAAACCAACGTATAAAAGGATTTTGGAGTATTATACTGAGTATTAATTGCTTTTCCATTATTAATATAATTTAGTTCTTGGGGCGCCTGGGTGGCTCAATCGGTTGAGCATCTGCCTTCGGCTCAGGTCATGATCTTGGGGTCCTGGGATCGAGCCTTGTGTCAGCTCCCTGGTCAGCGGGGAGGCTGCTTTTCCCTCTCCCTCCCCCCGCTCATGCTCTCTCTTTCTTTCTCTCCCTCTTTCTCTCTCTTGTACACGCGCATTCTCTCATAAATCTTTTAAAAAAATTTTTTTTGGGCGCCTGGGTGGCTCAGACAGTTAAGTGTCTGCCTTCGGCTCGGGTCGTGATCCTGGGGTCCTGGGATTGACCCCACATAGGGCTCCCTGCTGAGCAGGGAGCCTTACTGTCTCTCTCCCTCTGCCTGCTGCTCCACCTGCTTGTACTCTCTCCCTGTCTAATAAAAAAATAAAATCTTTAAAAAAAAAAAATTAAAAAAAATTTTTTTTTTGTTCTTACCACAATTTATAGTTGTGAAAAATCGAGAGATATGAGTTAGGTTTTCCCACAATCATACAGTTGTTAATATCAGGGGCACCTGGGTGGCTCAGTCAGTTACATGTCTGCCTTCAGCTCAGGTCATGATCCCAGGGTCCTGGGATCGAGCCCCGCATCGGGCTCCCTGCTCAGTGGGGAGCCTGCTTTTCCCTCTCCCTCTGCGTTCCTTCTGCTTGTGTTCTCTCTCTCTCTTTCTCTGTCAAATTAATAAATAAAATATTTTTAAAAAATTGTTAATGTCAGAGCTGAGTTTTGAATTCAGGTGTGATTGTAGAGCCTCAACCATTGTGTGTTTAGGTAATAATTATTAACTACCTTGAAATAATCCTCTTTTGCTTTATTAAAGCCACATGCTACTCTGCATAACAATTCTATAAATGAGGGGTATTTCTAGTATTTGCCTCATTTGCTTTATCTTCTTCATGTACAGATCTTATTAAATGAATTGTTTTATTCTTTGAATTTATCAAGATTCAGAAATTTGATTTCTCTTTCTGAAAACTGTAGTCTTTGTTAATTGCCATTTCCTTGGGTAGAGACATAACTGGTATTCTCAGAATTGAGGAAAGTGATGCAGGGTAAGTTTGTAAATACATTTTATTCTATTAAAGTGCTTAATATACAGTTAAATGCTGTTCACTAACAGGAAGGCTAGGCTGTCAGAAGCTCTTCACAGTTCTTTCCTGCCATTAAGCTATATACTTAAATTACTAAATCAAAATCAGCTTAGCTCCAGAGGCAAGGTTCTGGGAGGGTATTGCTGTAGTAAAGGCAGAAAGGGGGTATATTATCTGTAGAGAATTTTTAAAACAATAATGAAATTGACTAAAAGGGCCGTGCTTGTTATTATCCTATAACTGACAATTCTAAACAGCGTCAACAATAAAATACTGCCCACTGCCCCCACCATTTTAAGGCTCAGCCCTTGCTCCCAAGAGATGAATGAACCTTGACATGGAAAGGGACACTGTGGGGGTACCTGGGTGGCTCAGTCGTTAAGCGTCTGCCTTTGGCTCAGGTCATGATCCCAGGGTCCTGGGATTGATCCTCACATCGGGCTCCTGCTCCGCGGGAAGACTGCTTCTCCCTCTCACACTCTCCCTGCTTGTGTTGCCTCTCTCACGGTCTCTCTCTGTCAAATAAATAAATAAAATCTTTAAAGAAAAAAAAAAAGGAAAAGGACACTGTGTTTGAGCTTTCTCCTTTTTCCCAGATTATGTTTCAGTTGATAAAAGGAAGCAATCAAAAAATATATGGCAAGTTGTAACAAGGAAACAATGTTTCATTGGTTCATACATGTAAGTCATGTTGGTCCTATTAATTGCACAGTATGGAAACTCAAAACTCATGTAAAATAATGGTTTATTAGATTAAAAGATTGCAGGGGAATTTTGTGGACATAATTAATTGCAGAAGTACAGTCAGGCCTCCCAAAAACCATCTTCTCAGCAATTCTGCCTGGGAGCTCTGCGGTTCTGCCTACCCAGAGTCCTGCTCTGGTTGCCATGTTTAGTGTTGGTGATACCTTAAAGGCTTTTTTTTTTTTTTTTTTTAAACCACCCCATGAGCCCTCCAGGTAGACAGAATTTCTGACAAATTTAAATGATAAATTCAGTGTGTGCCAGTTATTTTTCATGAAAGCTGAGTTCCCAATATCTGCAGGTCATAAACTTGAATAATTACTTCTTTGCCCTTTGAATCTACCTTCTGGTGCCTGCCATTCAGGGGAGAGGCCTAAGGCTGAGAGGACAGTTAAAAGTAATTTTCTGGACACGGTGTAGACTTTTTGAAAGGTCATTAATGTACTTGAGAAGGATCAAGTCCGGTTGTTTGGTAGAATGAGGTAAAAGAAGTGTATTTGTGCCCTGCTTTCTTCCTCTCCTTTTACCTTTTGAATACTCTTCTCCACTCCCCACACCATGATCCGTTTCTGCTTTTCACCTCTACATGTTTGTGATTAAATGATGTATGCAGAAGATTACTTGAAATGTCAGTTATGTTGTGGACATTAAGAATATACACTTTCAGGACAAATGGAAAAGCACAATCTAATATAAGGCATATAGCTGTTTTGTTGGGTTTTTTTTTTTAAGATTTTATTTTTAAGTAATCTATACACCTAACATGAGGCTTGAACTCATGACCCCAAGATCAAGAGTTGCATGCTCTATCTACCAACTGAGTCAGCAAGACACCCCAGATTGCTGTTTTTGACTTGGGAAAAATTTCCAGTGATAGAATCATTCAGACTCAAAGGTCTGTCACAGCATAGATGGCAATAAAAATTACATTCCCTGGGAAATCATTCTAGATAACTCAATTTGCTGTAAATACACAAAAAAATAATGCCAAACATCAGTGAATAGTTTGAATACATTTTATGACATTTGCAAGTATATTGGGGTAAAGCAGCATTTCTGTGTTAATTGTTTATAGAGATGTGTTTCTTATTGTATAGGTAGCTAAATTTTATACATGTACATTTCAAGTCTATCTCCTTAAAAAGGTTTTCAAGATGAGCCCAAAACTTTAAAATATTATTTAATATTTGTTATTAAATTACTTAATAATATGGGGTTTTCTTCATGTTTAAGTAAAATAAAAGTCTGTTATCTAAATTTGTAATTTTAATGCACTGACTTTTAAAATTTACAAATAGATCGTTTGATTATTTAGCAGGTAACATCTAAAGGAACTGGTTTAAATCCTAATGCCAAAGTATGGCAAGAAATTCCTCCTGGAAATACTGAAGCCACTCAAGTAACTCATGGAACTGAAAGCTCTTGGCATGAAACAGCAGCCACATCAGGGTCTCATCCTGAGGGTATGTCCTAAATGCTTCATCAGTACAAATCATATTTTGGTTAAACATATGGCCAAATTCGTTTATAGAACTTTGGGGTATATCTTTTGATTATTTGATTAAATACATTTATAAATGTTTAACATGTAGTTTGTACACAGTTCTTTTAGTATGAATGGATTGTCACTAATTTCAAATAGTAGCTGTATCTGTGGGTCTGGCATCATTGGCAGTGCTGTTTACTCACTGTTTGACTTTGGGTAAATGACCTAACTTCTCTGTGCTTGTTTCTTTCATCTGTAAAACAATAATAATTACATTTGGCATAGGATTTTCTGAGAATCAAGTGAATAAAGAAGCTGCACATAGGTAGTACATAGATAGTGCTATATGAGTTTAAACTATTGATAATCATTTTAGCTTGTCCATAATGGTAAACTTACCTTCCTCAGGAAGAGAACTCTTATTACAACCATGTGGACATTATCCCAACTGGTAGAATTCCTTAAAATCTTATTATAGAAGACCTAGTGCCCAGAGTTCCTAAAGATAGGATTTAAAGAATTCCTGTTTACTTTCAGTATGTTTTCTTTAATACAGGTAATACAGAGCTTTCAGATGATATATGTAAGGAATATGAAGTAATGTATTCATCTTGTGAAACCACCAGAAATACTATAGGCATTGAAGAATCAACCGATGGAATGATTTTAGGGCCAGAAGATCTGAGTTACCACATATATGATGTTTCTGGTAAACTTTATGCTTTTATTGGTAAAACGAGCATATTGTACACTAATGTTTCTCCCCTTACATTCTATCATTGTTCTAATAAACCTTTGGCATTGATCAATCTGTTTTCTTATTTGAAAAGAACTGTATGTTAATGAAATGCTATGTTATTTTTATAAATACTGTTTTCAGGTGGACAAACATGAAACTTGTGATTTAAAAAGTATGTTTAAAGATCCTATTAAAAGAGAGTATGAAATTAAATATAAAAAGAAAAAATAGTCAATATAGTTAAAAGAGACCTAAATTATAATTTTTCAGAGATCCCAAATTTCTTGGTCTTTTAGTTGGGATCAATGCAAGTTCTGTCGATTTCCCATTATTTTTGTTAGTGTGAAACGCATTTATAAATGTGAAGTTGCAGGGATTAATTTTGAGAAAATGGCTGTATTAAAAACATGGTTCTACTACAGTTCAACTTGTGAAATATTTTTTTTCACATTTATTTCATTAGCATCGGTTAGTTGTTGGCTTGGATTTAAAGTGGATGAGATTTAAAAGAAACTAAAAATGGACCAAAGACCCCAACCACCTAACTTAATTTTTCTGATTTAAAGGATCTCTTTGGAAAATAAATGTAATAGGGAATACTCTTTTCTGTTGCTGCTTAGTTCTGTTCTGTGACTTTCAGTCAAGATACATAAACCTTTGTCCTCAATTTCCTTATTTATTATAAATATTTGGACTAGATTTCTAAGTTTTGTCAGCTTGTAAGTTGATTTCTGAAGTGGCATGGGTGATATTTCCATATAATAATTTAAGGTGGCAGGTTCTTCTCCCTACTATGGTCATAATATACCTAACCACTGGGTACTTTAAACACAGAGTTGGTTTTAGTAATGTAGCAACCACTTGGTATTTTAATAAGTTTCCTGTAATGACATTGAAAAGTTAAATGAAGTTATTGCTCATTTTTAGGTAGCACATTTGGGTGGTTGGATTTTGTATTAGAATGATTGCATATACATAGAAATAGAATGCTTCTTACATTCATTTTTAATGAAGTTAATATCTGCTATCACTTTGAATCTTGAGTACTCAGACAAGGTAGTGTTAAAATCATGCACAAAATTTATTTATCTTTATATACGTTCTATCGTCTGTATTTAAAGGAAATTAGCATACTTAATCACTAATGCTTTTTTTAAGAAGAGGACAAATTTCATGCTTTGAGTCTGTAATGTTTTGTGTAAGATTCTAATAAAAGGGTGATGGTTTTCCAGGCTTGAGTTCCGAAAAAAAGTCTCGTGTTCTGGGTTTAAATAATTGAAGGCATAGAGGGTTGTTAGAGTTGATTTGATCCTTTGGATGTTTGAGTGTTTTAAATATTCCTAGGAAGATAAAGAGCTCTATAATCAAGGAATGAAAAGAAAACAGTATTAAGAGATAACAGTTGAAGAAGTATGACTAACATCAGATTTAGTACCAATTATAAAGATATATATAATCCCAATTTGTTTAGCTAGTTTCCTTCAAATTTAGATTAACTATTACTTTTGTTCTTTGAGCTTTCATTAAAGGAATAAGTAGTTATCACAATTTTTTTTTAAGATTTTATTTATTTATTTGACAGAGAGAGACACAGCGAGAGAAGGAACACAAGCAGGGGGAGTGGGAGAGGAAGAAGCAGGCTTCCCTCTGAGCAGGGAGCCCGACGCGGGGCTTGATCCCAGAACCCTGGGATCATGACCTGAGCCGAAGGCAGACACTTAACGACTGAGCCACCCAGGCGCCCCAGTAGTTATCACAATTTTAAAGATTTTAGGGTAGTGTTTTACATAGGGTAGCCAGGTACCTTTAGTATTAATGGTGCTTTGTTCATTACTTGATAAAATAATTTCAAACTGGGCACCTGGGTTGCTCAGATGGTTAAGTGTCTGCCTTCAGCTCAGGTCATGATCCCAGGGTCCTGGGATCGAGTCCCGCATTGGGCTCCCTGCTCAGTGGGGAGCCTGCTTCTCCCTCTGCCTCTCTGTCTCTTATGGATAAATAAAATCTTTAAAAAAATTTTTTTTAAACTGAACTCTAAAGAAAGAATAGATAGTTTGAAATTAGGCTTTGTTAGAATTCAGTTGAACTCTAAAAATAATAGTTTTGTTGTGAATTTTAATTTTTGCATACTTTGTGATGTATTCTGAGTACAACTATATGTAACGTTTACTACCTATGGTAATTTGGTATTAACTTTTTCCCTCTGTTTTCTACCTTCAGGGGAAAGTAATTCAGCAATTTCTACAGAAGACCTAAAAGAATGTCTGAAGAAACAATTGGAATTCTGTTTCTCTAGGTATGTTATTCATATTTTTTTATTGAGATTTCTCATTTTTTGAATTGTTTGGTTAATAGATGTGAAATACCTGTGAGATAGAGTGGAAGAATAGTGGTTTTAATTTCCTTCTGTGAACTAAATTTAAAAATGTAGCCTCTAATTGGATATGCAAAGGATCTAGTTTTAGTAGAAAGATAATGAAATACTGGATTGGATTACTTTTGGATTGGATATTGGATACTTTTCCTATAAACATATTCAAGTTTAGGGTTCTCAAAACAGTGGTTATCTCTTAATATATCTTTTTAGTAGCTAGCTTGTGTAACCTTTGATCATGGAGTTACAGGCATAGAATTTATGTTACTAGTGTTTTCTATTAAATAAGGAGTTCTTTCAGGCAAATGTTTCAAGATGTCTTTTTTTTTTTTTTAAGGTTTTATTTATTTGTCAGAGAGTACGTGCACAAGCAGGGGGAGTGGCAGGTAGAGGGAGAAGCAACTCCCTGCTGAGCAGGGAGCCTGATGCAGGACTCAGTCCCAGGACCCTGGGATCATGACCTGAGCCGAAGGCAGATGCTTAACTGATTGAGCCACCCAGGCGTCCCTTTTTTTTTTTTTAAGATTTTATTTAATTTATTTATTTTAGGGAGAGAGTACGTGCGTGGGGCAAGGGGAGGGATAGAGGCGGAGGGAGGAAATCTCAAGCCAACTCTGTGCTGAGCACAAGCCTGACAGGCGCCTCAATCTCCCGACTCAGATTATGACCTGAGCTAAAACCAGGAGTCAGACACTTAACCAGCTGAGGCACCCAGGCGCCTCTCAAGATGTCTTATTTAGAGATAACAATTATGTAGGTACATTTATAGTTTAGATGTCATAAGACTTCACTATTGTAAAACTGCCCCTTCCAAAATAAACAGAAGTTTGGATATGCATGCAAAGGTAATGCCTTCTATTTTTCTTATATGTGGTGAGAGGTAGGACCGGTAAACCGATTTTTCAAGCTAGAAACCTGGATTTTATCAGACTTCTTTATTTCTTTTTTATTTTATTTTATTTTTATTTTTAAAGATTTTATTTATTTATTTGACAGAGAGTTACACAGCGAGAGAGGGAATGCAAGTGGGATGGGTGGGAGAGGGAGAAGCAGGCCTCCTGCCGAGCAGGAAGCCCGATGTGGGGCTCGATCCCAGGACCCTGGGACCATGACCTGAGCCCGAAGGCAGACACTTAACGATTGAGCCACCCAGGCGCTCCTCATTTTTTCTTTTTTTAATTTATTTACTTTTTAAGTAAGGTACATGCCTAGCATAGGACTTGAACTCATGACCGTGAAATCAGGAGTCATGTGTTCTACCGACTGAGCCAGCCAGGTGCCCCTAGACGTCTTTATTACTTTACACATAATATATTCTTGACTCAGGTTTAATTGATTCTTTATCCTAAATAGTTCCTCCTTTTTTCCCTCCTTTTTATTCTTTGCCTTTATAGTTTAGTACAGGATAAAATGATAAAAGCGGGAGTTTCTGTCTGTCTGTAGTCATTTGTTCCTGCAATACAATTCATTTTCTGTAATATATTTGTAATAGTTATTTAAAAATCTTTGCCTACTAACTGGATCATTTGTGTGTCTGCTTATATTTGAGTTTTTTTCTCTCGGTTCTCTCATAATTTCCTGCCTTTTTTGAATGTCTTACAAATTTTGATTATATGCTGGACATTACATGTAAAAGCACCTAGGAGCTGCAAGTGATAAGATCTTTCCCTCTAGACAAGATTTGAGCTTTCTTCTGGTAGGCAGAAGCAGATTGATTGCTTCAGTCCAGTCAGGAATTGAGCTGGGTTAGGACTGAGCAGCCACTTTAATTAGACTCAGTCTTCCTCTGATTTATCTCTGTTCCTTAGGCGTGACCTTTTCAGTCTTGATTTGGAAGTTGTTTTCTGTTACTTCAATTCTGAAACACCAAGGGAGATTTAGTCCTTTTCTTGAGAGGTTTGAGATTAGCTCTTTAGTTTCTTACCCTGTAAGCTTCAAAATCTGGCAGATGTCTTGTGGGGGAGACCTGTCTTGTGTTTGATGAGAGTTTCTTCCTTCCACTGGAACTTCCACAAAACCACAGAGATGTTACTCTGCCTTTTTAGCCTGGCTCCCAGTATCCCACCTTCTTCCTTAGAACTCAGGAAATGTTATTTGGGGGGAAATCTGCTGTATGTTAGGAGGGCCTTTAGTTTCCAATTCACAGTGCCAGTCCTGTGCAACTGCCTAAAACTCTGCTGGTTTCCCCCTGGTCCCATATCTGTGGACCCCGTCAGGAAAAAGATCATCTTTCTGGAATTCCATTTTGTTCTTGGAGCTTCTTTCCTTCATCTCCAGAATGTGATTTTTGTAATTTAGCCACGCTTTTTTAGTTGTTGGAATAGGAGCACTGGTTTGTCATGATCTACCACATCCTACTCAGAACTCTGATATAGTTTAAACAAACTATGTGATTGATACTTGTGGCTCAGCAAAATTGTTATTAGCACATATAAGGTATTAATCATGAATAGTCAAATCATAGATGTGAATAGATGTGATTTATATCCATTAATTTGACTTCTGATGAGATACGGTTTCTTTAAGAATTTAACCAAGGTTGGGGCACCTGGATGTGTCAGTTGGTTAAGCATCTGACTTCAGCTCAGGTCATGACCTCAGAATCATGGGATCAAGCCCCACATTGGGCTCCATGCTGAGCATGGAGTCTGCTTCTCCCTCCCCCTCTGACCCTACCCCTGCTTATGCACGATCACACACATGCACGCTCTCTCGCTCCCTCTCAAATAAATAAATAAAATCTTTAAAAAAAAGGTTTGGGGTGCCTGAGTGGTTCAGTCGTTAAGCACCTGCCTTCGGCTCAGGTCATGATCCCAGGGTCCTGGGATTGAGTCCCACGTCAGGCTTCCTGCTCAGCGGGGAGTCTGCTTCTCCCTCTACTCCTTCCCCGTACTCGTGATCTCTCTCTCTCTCTCTCTCATGCTCTCTCTCTGTCCCAGATAAATAAAATCTTTTTTTTAAATATTTATTTATTTGACAGAGAGGGAACACAAGCAGGGGGAGTGGGAGAGGGAGAAGCAGACTTCCCCCGGAGCAGGGAGCCCGACGTGGGGCTTGATCCCAGGACCCTGGGATCACGACCCGAGCCGAAGGCAGACGCTTAACAACTGAGCCACCCAGGCGCCCCGCAGATAAATAAAATCTTTAAGGAAAAAAAAAAAAGTTTGACTAAGGTTTTATAAGAACAGACATGCTGCAAGTCAGAGTTGATTTAGGCTACAACTTTTTAGTTGTGTAAATATTATATGTATAGGGGCGCCTGGGTGGCTTAGTCAATTTAGCGTCCGACTCTTGATTTCAGCTCAGGTCATGATCTCAGGGTTGTGAGATTGAGCCCATGTTGGGGTCTGCTCTGGGCATAGAGTCTGCCTAAGATTCCGTCTTTTCCTCTCCCTCTACCCCTCCCTCTCTAATAAACAGCAAAAAAAGAATATCTTGATGAATATGTTATTACTGTGTTCCTCCATTTATGCTAAAGTGAGTTTAACCTTTGCTGGTATCTTCTCTATTATTTTTCCCCCCAAAACAACCTGTTGGCAATTGTAATTTTTAAAAAGTAATTACTACTTTATTTTAATAAAACTTGAATGTAGAGGCCTTTGGCCCTACCCTTTGCCAGGCACTAGGGCCTTGAAATACATTTTGAACAACAAAGATTCTTCATGGAACCTGTATTCTGGCTGGAGGAGACAAAAATAATTTTTTTAAAAAGCATAATAAACTTAGAAGTGTGCTAAGTGATAAGCACTGGAAAAAAATTTAGAACACTAATCAAGAGAAGGGGAATCAAGAGTGCTTGTGTGGTTTCAGTTTTAAATGGGGTCATTGAGAAAAGGGGGCTTTTAAGCAGACTTCCAGCTATTTATAACTAGACTGCTTCAAAGATCTGATGTGAATAAGACAACATGAGTATGATTTTACTTCAATTTGTTACATAAGATTTTATATGTAAGATAGAAGCATTTCTATCTTTTTAAGAAATGTATCTTTAAGAATCTTTTAATTTTAAATGTTTTAAATTTAGTTTTAAATTTATTAAATTTAAATAAAAAGTCAAACATACTTTAAAAATACAAACATTTAGAAATTTTATTTATTTATTTTAAAGATTTTATTTATTTATTTGACAGAGAGAGACACAGCAAGAGAGGGTAAGGGTAAGCAAGGGTAGCGGGAGAGGGAGAAGCAGGCTTCCCACTGAGCAGGGAACCCGATGCAGGGCTCGATCCCAGGACCCTGGGATCATGACCCAAGCCGAAGGCAGACGCTTAACGACTGAGCCACCCAGGCACCCCACAAACATTTAGGAATTTTAAATCCTTTACAGTTAAACTCGTGGTTGAAGCTACAATTTTCCACATATGCATATTCTAACATCAGTGATAAAGTGTTTATAAGATGGAACTACACTGTATGTAATATTTTATTAAGCCTCTTTCCATATCAATATAATTCCATAAAGTTCCCGTGTTCAGAATTTTGGGCATGATGTATTTGGGGATTCAGAAACTTTTTGAAAGTTGTTAGAGTATATTTGTTGTGTATTACGTATTTTCATAGTTCACTATGTTATTTCTGGTAGCATAATTTTAAGTGACAGAAGTGAATAAGACACTTCTTTAGGTGCTTTTTAAGAATTCTTTGTTTTATGGGACTCTTGCTTTTGTTTATTCCTTTCAGAGAAAATTTGTCAAAGGATCTTTACCTGATATCTCAAATGGACAGTGATCAGTTCATCCCAATTTGGACAGTTGCCAACATGGAAGAAATAAAAAAGCTGACCACAGACCCTGATCTAATTCTTGAAGTGTTGAGATGTATGTAAATCATACCTTTTAGCTATTTTTTTAAGTCAAAAAGCTAAATATTCTTTTGATTTCTGATCATACAGGGAATTTTTTGGTTTTGTTGGCCATTTTATTTTTATTTTTTTAAATTGTAGTTGACATATAATGTATTTTTTCAAGTATACAACATAGTGATTCCACAATTCTATACATTAAGCTGTGCTCATCAGGCAGGGAATTGTTAACTCCCTATTTTTTGTTATTCTGTTTCAATAATTTATCTTTATTTTTACTGACTTGGTATATAGCTTCTATATCACTTCTGTACCTTGGTTGTTCATCACCCACTTACTCCAAGTATAAGCAGTTTTTTGTTTTCTAGGCTATTAGAAAGTTGTATGTATCGTTATCACATCTTCTAAAGCATTGTTTCAAACTTTTGAACCCAAGTATGAAGTACATTTTACGTTATGGCCCAGTACATACACCACATACCCACACACAACTGAAATGTTAATTACTCAGATTAATACTAAATGCTTGGAATTAACTCTTTTTTTCCCCCCTAAATTGATTTCACAACCTGTTAAAGAATTGCAGTCTGTAGTTTGACAAATACTACTCTAAAGTTTGGTAAAGAATTGGAGGTTCTAAGCATTTTTAATGGTCTTTATGTCTTATATCAGTATTTCTTGCTAACCTTTCTTAGCAAAACCTTACCAAAGTTTTAACTACTTGACTGAATAAAGGCAGCTCTTCATTTTTATATGAAACGTGTTGTTGAAAATGTTTAAAAGTTAAATATACCAAGTACAATAATAGGCTTATATAAGAGTAGATTTCCATTCTCAAAGGGCTAAAAACATTTATGAAATCTGTGATTGGTTTGTGCAGTGGTTTCTTAAAACAACCCAGTCTTGTAATCAGAAAAAAAATCAGCCAAGACACCAGCAGAATCCTCCACTAAGGGCTAGAACCTAGTACTTAAACCCAATTCTTCTTCCCTGTTTCTTTTATTCTCATTACTTAACCTGTTCAGAGAGGTGTGGCATATTATCTCTCTGAAGGGACTAGGAATAAAAGTTTTGGTTAGATGGTACTATCTTCATTAAATATTTCCTCAAAATCAGCATCTAGAAGATGGCCTCTCAGTGTCTGTAAATAGTATGGAAGAATAAATATGTTAAAATCAAGGGAAAGTTATAATCATTTGAGTTTAATTCTTGGTTTAAGTGCTTAGACTTGAATTTTAAGAATTTCTTCGCATGTCAGAATGCAATACTGTCATCCAGTTACAAGTGTGGAATGCAAGTACACTGATTTTTATTATCTCCAGAAATCCAGAATTCAGTAATTATACACAGGATAATTTTACCTTGTTAGATATGTATTGTATACTCCTGAAAGTTTTTCAACCCCAACACAGTGCCAAGATACAAAGTAGGTACTCTGTATATTTGTTCAAAGAATAACACTTGACAGTGTTTCTTGTATATTAATCTCAAAATATTTTGTTACAACTGTCATCTTTGGTTCTACAATTTAATTTCTCTGCTAATTTATTCACTTAGAAATAGAAATGAATAGTTTTTAATGGCAATATTAATATCTCTCCTTGTCACTTTTGAATGAAACACTTTTTTAAATTTCAGCTTCTCCTATGGTACAAGTTGATGAGAAGGGTGAGAAAGTGAGACCAAGTCATAAGCGTTGTATTGTGATTCTTAGAGAGATTCCTGAAACGACGCCTATAGAGGTAAATTATTAAGCATTGTTAAAGCTAAGTGTTTTTTTTTTAATTTTACTTTATTATGTTAATCACCATACATTATATCATTAGTTTTTGATGTAGTGTTCCATGATTCATTGTTGGCATATATCACCCAGTGCTCCATTCAGTACGTGCCCTCTTTAACACCCATCACCAGGCTAACCCATCCCCCCACCCCCTCCCCTCTAGAGCCCTCAGTTTGTTTCTCAGAGTCCATAGTCTCATAGTCCAATCGTCTCCCCCTCCCAATTTCACCCCCTTCATTTTTCCCTTCCTGCTTTTTTTTTTTTAACATGTATTATTTGTTTCAGAGGTACAGGTCTGTGGTTCAACAGTCTTACACAATTCACAGTGCTCACCATAGCACATACCTTCCCCAGTGTCTATCACCCAGCCACCTCATCCCTCCCACCTCCCACCACTCCAGCAACCCTCAGTTTGTTTCCTGAGATTAAGAATTCCTCATATCAGTGAGGTCATACATGTCTTTCTCTGATTGACTTATTTCGCTCAGCATAATACCCTCCAGTTCCATCCACGTCATTGCAAATGGCAAGATTTCATTCCTTTTGATGGCTGCATAATATTCCATTGTATATATATATACCACATCTTTATCCATTCATCTGTCGATGGACATCTTGGCTCTTTCCATAGTTTGGCTATTGTGGACATTGCTGGTATAAACATCAGGGTTCACGTACTCCTTCAGATCCCTGCATTTGTATCTTTGGGGTAAATACCCAGTAGTGCAATTGCTGGGTCGTATGGTAGCTCTATTTTCAACTTTTTGAGGAACCTCCATAGTGTTTTCCAGAGTGGCTGCACCAGCTTGCATTCCCACCAACAATGTAGAAGGGTTCCCCTTTCTGTTTTAGCCATTCTGACTGGTGTGAGGTGGTATCTCATTAAGCTAAGTGTTCTTTAACTGTTTAAATTGAAGGTAAAGTATAAGTCAGTGCCCTCATATCAATTATGTGAATAGGTTAAATTTTGTTTTGTAAATTCTGAAACACTGGAAGAATGGTACAGAGGGAGGAGGAAGATATAATTCCATGTTCTTAGAATGGTAGACTAAGTATTGCAGTGTTACTAGTTCTCAATTTATTGATTTGACTGGCAATTAAAATATAAATAGGCTCTTTTGGGAACTTGAGGATTAATCTGAAAGAATAAACTTAGGAATAAAGAAGAAAAATAAGATTCGAGACTAATTCTACTAGCTAGCAAATATAAAGCAGAGTTGCAGTCATAAAGATGGTCTGGTACAGGTAAAGAAATAAAATAGTATTTGAATGAAACAATATAATCCTGGAATAGACCCTTTTATATAGTAATGTATGTATGATAACATTTATTTAGTAATTAGGTTCTACCAAGTATTGTGCCGTGTACTTTATGGTAATTTAAAGCCTAAGGTTTTATTATCTGTTTTACAGATAAGTAACTGAGCCTTAGTGTGGTTAAATAACTTGCCTAAAGACACATGGGCTGTTTAAATGACAGAATCTGATTTGAACTTGCTCTCTCTGATTCAAAGCCCATGTTTCTTAACCAGTAAACCACAGGACTTCACACTAAGTTGCCATGTTAATGATAATAGGTTGAAGATGGGGAGGATTAATTAGTAACTGATATATGGTAATTGGTTAGCCATTTAAAAAAGAATTTTTAGACTCTTGCCACCTAACAAATGTAGCACATTAGTAGTTAATCTTTTTGCCCAGATTCATTCAGTATTAACTCTCCAGAATGAAGCCTTCCTAAACTTAGAAACAGAGAAATTAGAAAAGAAACTGTCACTAGATAGATCTTCTTTTTAAAAATTATGAACTATATGTCAAAAGTAACAAATTGAAAGGAAAATTGCAGAATGGGAAGAATATTTGCATTATTAATAAACAGTGTAGAATATATGAGCCTGGACTCTAGAGCCAAGCTGCCTGGATTTAAATTCCAACTTTTTACTTCGTAGCTCTATGACCTTGCATAAGTTACTTAACCTCTTTTGCTTTGTTTTTTCCCATCTGTTAAATGGGGTAATAGTAATAAGTAACTCATAAAATTGTGAGAAATAAATGAGTTAGTATATAAAGAACTTAGAGCAGTACTTGGCATGTAAAACAAATCTAAGATTAGCCAATATTATCATTTTTATAATTATTGTAATTTATATTCTGAATACATAGGTCACATGCGAAAAGCAATAAATAAAAAGGAACAAGGCAGCAACATACTGTTCATTAAAAAAAAGTAAAAGAAGTGCAGATGACTAAGATAGCCAGAGAAAGTCAGCCTAGGCAGTCACTGAAATTCAAATTAACATAAGGGATTTGGGGTGGTGACTTTAAAGGTTCCTGTCAGGTGGAACAAATTACTTTAGATCCAGACTTCTTTTTTTATACTTGGGAAAGTAAATCTATGAACATAACTCTTCCTAAAGAATAATAAAGGCTGAAAATAAAAAGATTTAAATAAATGAATCAATTCATTATACATTAAAAAGAATTAGAAATATTTGGAGAATATATGGATTTTTGAAGATAGAGATCAGTGGGTGGCAGTCTAACAGTTCCACAGATAGTTCTATGATTATGGAAATGTAATTCTGGACTGGATGAGAATTTTATTAACTGAACTTGGTGATATTTCACCACTTTCACAAATGTCACAAAACTCAGCTGGTTGCACACTATTTTGAGTAGTATTTGACCCAAGCAAATTTCATCATAAGTAGAGATGTAATTTTTTTTAATTCAGTGTAGCAAAAATTTGAGGGAATTAGAATACAGGTTAGACTTCACTGTTAGCATGTTGATTGTCCCATCAGCTTAGTAATTGCCTTTTTAAAAATGGATACCTTGTGATATTTTGGTATTTTGTGGGCACTTTAACCTAATAAGATTCTTCAATATTTAGGAATTAATGGTTATTATTGAATTTCTCCTTGAACTCAGGTAGGTATTAGACAAAATGGAGTTTGGAGGCATACAAATCTGGATTTGAGTTCTTTGTGATAGCATGAGTAGGTTAAACAGTTTGAGCTACCATTTCCTCAGCTGTAAAATGGATATGATAAAATCTTTAAAACAGGGTTGTTTTCAGGTTAAATCTGTGTCTCACCCTGCATGGGATTACAGTAAATGTTTCCTTTCTGTCTGTAACCGTTTAGAGATACTTAATGTTGACTTCCAGTTGTTTTCTTTCTTTTCTTTTTATAAATTTCTACACAGTTCTGAGTTTTGGTAATCATCTTTTTTGAAATGCATATATTTGTTTTAGGTTTCAGTTGTTGAAACTTCAGTTTCGATTATGGAAAAGCGAAACTATCTTTGCACAGAGTTCATATCTGTGACTCTGATGTAGACAGAGCATCTGGATTGAATGAGAATGCATGAAAATAAATACTAAGCACTAGAAAATGTTAATGGAGGACATACTTCTCCTTTTTTGGATAATGGCAGGTCTAGAGAGATTTTACTGTTTTTTTTTT